CCTAATATGATGTGGCCCTGAGCCATTGCTCTGATGGCAGGAGATCTCTTGGAAGGTGACCTTCGGGTTGGGCAGGAAAGTCCCAGGGGCGGGTCCAACAAGATGGAGGCCCTGGTGCCATTTTGTTGACATCCCCCTATTCCGCTGGCCCAACAGTGAGGAAGAACTGAATCAAGAGAAAGGGTGAAATCCTGCTGGATAGGGAAGGAAGAGAGATGTTCTGTCTGAGTCAGGAAGAAGGGTTAATGAAAAGAAGTTTCAGGGTGGAAAGGAAGAATTCTGGCAGATGGTGTATCAGTTAGCTTGTACTGCATAATGAATAACCTCAAATTTACTATTTAAAATATCCACTGTTTATTGAGATCATGCTTCATTGGGTTGGTTGGTCTGAGCTGGCTTGGCTGATCTCTGTCTCTTGCTCATGCAGCTGTGGTCAGCTGGTGGGTCGACTGGAAGCTAGATGTGGGATGACCTTACTTACATGTCTGTCATTGGGCAAGTTGTCCCCACATCATCCAGAAGCCTGAGCAGACTTGTTCATATGGTATCCCAGAGTTTCAAGAGCAGCCCTTTTCCAGCTTCTGCTACTGTCCCATTGGTCAAAGCAAGTCATAAGACTAACCCATATTCAAGGGTTAAAGAAATAGATTCTACCTCTTCATGAGCAGAGAAAGAAATTGTGGTCATTTTTGTAGCGTATCACAGATAGATTGCATCTGAACTGAGAAGTTGGATAGGCGACTGTCCTCTGGTGAGAAAGGTGGAGGCAGAATTGAAAAGTAGGAATATGAAAAAGTTTTGGAGTTGTCCGTGGCTGGAATAGAACGGTCCACAAGAAATAAGGGGGAGATCTGCTACACAGCACAAAGGACCCAGGTGAGGGTTGGTGGCATGAATTAAGTTGCTGTCACTTGATTTCATTACTTCTTCAGCAGTGTTCAGAAGTTCAGCAACAAGTACAGACAAAGTAGAGTTTAGGGGGGTCTCAAGCCTGAGATTGTCATGTGTGTATGGTCTGGGACCAAAGGATTGGAGACTGCATCATTTGGCTATTGCTGTGTAACAAGCAACCCCAAGAGCAACGACTTAAATAAGTAAGCATCTATTATTCCTCATGAGGTTGTCTGGGTGGATTTTCTGGTTATGGCTGGGTTACTATAAGTGGGGTAGATAGGAAACTCTGCTAATATTAGCTGTGCTCCTTCTCACGTTTGAGGTTCACTTGGCTTTAGTTGGATCTAAGATGTCATTGACTGGGACAAGTGACTCTTCCGAGTGGATGCTTATCTTCCATTAGGTTAGCTTGGGCTTGTTCCCATGGCAGTGGAGCTGGAAGAGTACGCAAACTGAACTCCAAACATGTGAGCCAGACAATAATCTGAGTGTTTTCAAGCCAGTTGTGAGGCACCTGAAACTTAATGCCCCTGGAGAAACTCTGGAGGCTGGTATTGGACACATGCCTCAAGGGTATTCTCCTAGAGGGTTGAAGGAGCTGGGGAATTTATACCCTGACTCCACTCAGTCTTTTGTTGAGAGTTCCTGTGAGAGGGATAAATTCCCCATCAATTCTAGATTGACTAAGGGGTGGGAAAGCATGTTCTGGAGGACAGAGAAAACCCTCAGGCAAGGAAAGGCAGGTGCTGGCAAGGGAAGTCACTTAGAACAGCTGGCGTGGAGAGGGCTTGGTGTGTGGGCGGAGCAGACAGCGTTTGCCACAAACATCCATGAGGTCAGATTCACGAGGTTCTAAACTATTTCTCCTAGACATGCAGCCAAACAGCAGTGACTGCTCCAATGCTGCTTGATTTTCTTTTTGATTTTAAGAAAAGGGATTAAGAAAACTCAGCTCCTAGTTAATCTCCAAATTAGGGTTTGAGAGAAAAGAAGTTATTTTTAAGGAGCTATGTTAAGAAAAAAAACTTTATGTAGTGAAACTTCAGTGAGCCAGTGTTTGGAACCCAAAATATGCTGCTTAAGTCTACAGAAATACCAGGGAAATGTGTAGACCTGCACCGTGCAATATAACAGGCACTAGCCACATGTGGCTAGTTAAATTTATCTAATTTAATTTAAACATAAAATTAAACCTTGAATGCCTCAGTCACACGAGCCACATTTCCATTATCATTCAAAGTTTCACTAGACACACTAGGCATATCAATGGAACTAAGCGAGAACAAGTTCCTGTTCTGCAGTGTGGGGGGTTTTCTAATTAAATCACATATAGGAACCAAAATTTTTACAAGTTATTTGTGTCCTTCTCTGAAAATACAAAATCAGGTGATTGAGAGAGGTTTATGTTTTCTTAAGTTCCTGTTAATCAAGATTTTGTTGAACTAAGACAAAAAAACCAAAACAACAAAAAAAGAAAATCCCATCAGTCTGGGTCAAACTATTAATATTTGCTTGATCTCTGGAGGACCCTGCATGTCCCCTGAATCTTGTATGTTCATTTTACAGACTAGAGAACTGAGCTCCCACAGGTAGGGAGGTCTTAGCCATGACAGGAGTCACTCCCCTGCCCTACACTGCCTCCCACTCACAGTTTGCAATAAAGCAGGGAGGTAGCTGTGACCTCAGACTCAAGAGATCAGAGAAGAACCTCATATACCTTTCACACCATGATCCTAAAATCTTGTAGATCACAATACTTATTTCTCTCAGCCAAAACTCTCCTTCTGGGGCCTTTCCACCCTCACACTGGATGTGCAAATCTTAAAATGAATAAAACTGAAAAACAAGAGCCTGGGGCTTGATGCTTATCTCTTGAATATATCATATCTAGCCTTTGGGATTCTAATGGAAATCATTTATAGTACAGAGTGCACATTCATTTGTTTGCCTAAGATGAAAATCTGCAGGCAAACAGAACCTGTTTGGGGATTCTTCTACAACTGGGGTTGCCATGACAACACCTAGTGTAACTCACATGGCACAATGATTTGGTCTATTACTGTAGTATCCTGTTATATAATGATTTGATTTCATTATTTTCTGTATGTTAAAGGCATTGCTGTACAGAATATCAAATTGCTTAAATATCTGGTAAAGGAGAGAAGCTGAAAAAAATATTTTGTACTTTGATGATGATTAAGTTGGGAATAGAGCTGGGAGTTAGTTGACTAGTATGACATGCCTTGATATACAAAGATAACAGTAACTGGGCCGGCCCGGCGCCGCTGGCGGCGGCGCTCCCGCCCGAGGGTTCGGATCCCACATACAGACCGGTTCCCGCTCACTGGCTGAGCGAGGCGCGGGAGCAACACCGAGGGTTGCGATCCCGTTGCCGGTCCCTGGTCTGGTACGGGGGCAACACTGAGGGTTGCGATCCGTTGCCGGACACGGAAAAAGACAAAAGACAAAAAAAAAAAAAAAAAAGATAAAAGTAACTGTAATAGATGCTGTGTGCTTGATGGGGGTCACTGCCCCATCCCCCAGCTGCTATGAGTTTTGGTTGAGTGGGAATTACAGCTTCCCCTCCAGAGAATTGCCCTGAGGCCATGGGAGTTCCCTTGTCTAGAAATGCCTGAAAAGTTTTGTAAAACCTCTGAAGCTGTCCAGGGTTACAAAAGCCCAGGTGTCTTTCATCAAGGTAGAACAACTCTTGGGGATCATTTCTACTAAAGAGCTCCCTGTTGGATCAGGCCCAGGCTGGATTTCAGCTAGAAATACACCCTACCTTC